GGGTAAGCAGACATCGGTCTTGTTTAACAAAAGTGTCATATATTTAAACTGCAACGGATTTATATGTTACACTGTAACATATAACATTTGTAAATAATGAAAGGAAGTAACCTGTTATGTAAAAGTTAAAATGTGTTTATTTTCGGATATACAGGGAAATATTTATGATTAGAACATTTCACGTGAAATGTTGGGACCATAGATATTATAATCTGTATATCCGACAATAAACGAGTTTTAAGTTTTAGATAATAATTGCGTTTACAATTGATATGTTTGTGTGTGGATGAATAAAAAAAACTGACTAAGATGCTTTGTTTGATTTGATGTCTTTAATCATAAAAATATGGAATATTCATTCCTCTGCAGATAAACAATAATTGTGTACCACATCAATAGTCAGTGAGTAGGGAATTATGATGAAATAGCACAGCTGTCGGCAGTATATATTATTGATGTATGCAATATATTTCCTGTTTCAACTGGCAAAAACCTTTAACAGAATCAAAGTATACACTTAAAGCAGGTTTTAAGAGAGTGCTTAAAATGTTTTACATTGGACAACATATGATGTACAAGCATTTATGATTTCTAAACCATTTTTGCCTTGTTTCCATTTGCAAATTCCTTCGCTCTTTCAGCCGTGGAGGCGTTATAATGTGATGGTTGATATATTATTCGTTTGGTAAAGAGTAGCCCAAGAGCTGGAGATTAGTGGTTAACCAGCTGCCTTCCATCGAGTCTATCTCTTCTAAATTACGGATGACTCGCGCAAATGTCCTCGAGTAGCTTTGCACGAAATTTAACAAACAAACAGCTTAGTCTTAACTATATTATTGTACTAAAGTTTTGGAAGATATATCCCTTATCACGTCATGTGAATTATCTATGTTAATACCAAAAAAAGTTTTATGTGAACAGAAATAACCTAAACTATTACAAGATTTATTCAGCCCAACTAGGTTCATACTTCTATAATTACAGTAAAAGCACTTATTCGTTTTAGCAAGCTTATAATGATTCTCAAGATATAGATCAAATAACGAACAAAGCTCTCATCGCGAAAGCGCAGAAAAATGAGTTTTACATGTAACATCTATGAGTTCAATTCTATTCCTTATATCCAATCACTTCAAAAACATTCCTTCCAAAGACTTTCCATCCGGAAGCCGCATCTTGATCGCCATTCAGCAGTCATCGACGTCACCTTAATTTCCATTTCTACAGACCCTGAATTTTCTTAGTATATAAAATGGTGTAGTTCTTATTGAAACAATTCTGCATACGTTATCAGGGTCTTAACTATAGCCATGAGAATACCGAGGTCATATTCTCGGTTGTTCTTTATTCAATCATATAAACACACGCACAAATATATATATTTTCTAAGCCATTATTTGACAAAAGTTTGTGTCTGTGAGTATGTATTCACTTATAACTATTGAACCGTTGCACCGACTGTCTCCAAATCTGGCATGTAGCCTAAGGATCCCCAAGGGAGTAACAAAGGTAAGTCGGCTTTTGGGTCTGACTCCCCGCTTTCATGTCATCCCCGTGCGTTGAACGGGAATGCCATCTAGTACATATATATAATTGGAAGTTATAACTTGAAACTTAAGTTTAACCTTTGTGGAGTATTGGCTTTGTTACAATGAGGTATGCTATATCTGAAAAGTAAAATAGTAAAAACAAATTCAGTTACGAAGATATTCAGTATTATCCCAGAATGTTTTTTTCAAACTGTCGTCTGCATTCGTTACGTAGGCCGATGTCTATGTTACATATGTGTTATGTTTCATTTAAAAAAGTTCTTGTAAACCTATTTATGAAGATAGATCAGTTTGTATCCGTATATTTCTGTTTAAGCTTTTAATATACTATCATATTTGACCACCGAAAATATTCAATGACAATCATACAATCTTCTGACACTTCACATGGTTCTATTATTTGTATTTTGTATTTACGGCAAAGCTAATTTTAAACTACTGACCAGAGGGAATGCAGCCAGTCACAGTCCACGTTAAGGGATTGACTGTCACTCTTATAACACACCCACAACTTGAAATACGGGGAATATTTCGTTGTTTCGGAAGAATCACCACTCCGAAATCCTGAGTTCTCCCATAGGACCAACCCGTTCTCGCCATTAGGTTCTTATAAAGCAGCATTACGCTGTGTTGCATACTATGAAATTAATAAAATTGAATTGCAATTAGAATTTAAAATGTTGCGAAAGCAACTTTGTAAAACAGTGTATTTGCATTATCCAGAAATTTAAATACTTTATTTAAACTAAAAATCTTTAGATGTAATTGAAACTTAAGTGTTCTTGAAAAAGTGTAAAATTTGAATCACGTGAATAAAATAAAATTACTTTGTCATGTTTATTTCTTAACGACTTAAGTTTTGTAGTTAAAGAACTAAAACTTTCCAACAGTACGTGGGAGGGAACAGGATCAGCATGACAAATAACAGCTGAAAGAATAGCTTACATGCAATTCATGGGTCAAAGGCTGGGAAACGGGAAAGAAGAAAAACTAGTTGCTAAACATGAGAGAGATAAGTTAAACCATAAGAAAGACTGTAACTCTAGAATAGTGCATGGGACATTTATGGTTTCCATAACCATGAATAGCCTGTAAACTGCGCTAGTTGGTCTGCTTGTTTATACACAAGGCCATCAAAAAAATTCTTTATTTTTTGTTTCATTTGCTATTGAAGGCTCTTAAAAACACAACCTTGAGGCCAAATTATCTCGTACTTCTTGGGGTTGTTTGTAACAAACAATTTAGGTCATGAAAGCTATTACAACTGGTGGATGAAAAAGTCACAACTTTTATATTCAGTTAAAAATTAAAATCACGAAAAAGGTAATTTTTGAAAACCAATCGACGTTTTATGTCGGTTTTTTCAGCTATTTCTTCATCGTTACAATTCACTTTTATACCTTATAATACAAAAACAAAAGGTTTAATTATTCTGGTTGCAAGTAAGCGTTTTAAAAGAAGAAAGGTTTCAGTAATACTTATACCGATTTGCTGGTTGATAGAGTAAAATAAGTGTATTTCATCAGCAGCAACAGCATCGAGATCTTTTAACGTTGCTAATAAATTAATGCTTTGTATTAGTGGTTATAAATGTTTTGATGATGCTGTTAAACATAAAAAAGTATTAATATTTCACTTTCAACGAATTCTTGCAAGTTGTGCATTTTGTTCTGCACTAACTTTGTACAATTCGGCCAACATTTATAACTAGATTAACCAAATACAAGGAAAGCATTAAATCATCACAGGATGCATTATAGCATTATACTACTTACTTGAATGTACTCATCTATTTTCTATCTTTTTTTTCCCTCAGTCAGAGTGACTACAATCTTCGTTTTTGTTTTTTCGCCAACATCTTGTTTCCATTCTTAGCAATGCAGTGGAAATATTTTTTTTTTTATCTCTCAGCTAAGCATATACATTTTCATAATTGATTTGTGACTGCTCAAATGAAGGTAAAGGCTTTATTCAACTCTCACTCTAAATTACTTTTGCCAACTCAATATTGACGTCTTAAGCTCCACGTCTGTTAGAGGAAGAAGAGCTATTCTGGCCAGGGCCATTCTGAGGTTGCTGGATGGGAAACAACACTTGCCTTAGCTAACAGTTTATGATAGCTAGAGCTGGCTACAATTGCAAATTGTCATTTAGTAGCAGTGCTACATGGAATGGAATATATGACTAAGGGATGTGCAAAATGGAAGAGACGTGCTCTGTGTACACTGACTTATCGCTGAACCATCGGGGACATGACTCTGTTACAGCCATCTTCTATGTTTCTTGTTCGTACTTTAAGATATACCACCTGGTAATAATCATCGTTAGGTTCTCTTGTTTCTGTTTATTATAAAACCATTCGTCCCACTTATAAGATACTTAACGAAACATGGGTATTTTATGCAAAATTACATTTCGCCGTTTCAACCAACAGCTCTAAATACATAAAAATTCTTAGAGAAATAATTGTTCTCAAAAGGGACTACGTATTCAACTTAATCCTGTAAAACTGTTTTACGTTCACTCTTACTGAGAGAACAATCGGTAGACTACAGTAGCACAACGTACCATCTGAACAAGAGCACAAATAAACTTTCATACAACACGGTGATGCACCGTAAGTTTTTAGATTGTTTTGGTTAGCCCACTGAAGTAAATCCGGTTCATACAACACGGTGATGTACTGTAAGTTTTTAAATTGTTTTGGTTAGTCCACTGAAGTAAATCCGGTTCATACAACACGGTGATGTACTGTAAGTTTTTTTTGTTAATTGTTTTGGTGGCCCCCTGACGTAAATCCGGTTCATACAACACGGTGATGCACCATAAGTTTTTCTTATGTTTCTACTTATTCACTTATAGTTATAACAACTATAAGTACATGTTTTCACCTGAAAGATTTAAATGGTTTCCTGAAGGAACTTTTGAATGAATAGCTGTGCTAGCAAATCAAAACGTTATGTTCAAACTATCTCCAACACGAAATTTTTCTAAATCTTTTCAAGTGTAAATATTTAACTATTTTAACGTTTACCACCCATTTGTTGGGAATTACACGTTTTTCATTATGGTTAATTGTTTTAAAAATATATAATAAATAGTAACTTGCAGAAGGTTTGTTTGGAAATTCAGTTCACTTGAATGCAGACTACTGTGATAAGAAAACTCATTATCACTTTCAGACTACAAATGTACGTGTCTGAGAATAACGTTGGTACTGCTAGCGATAAAATACAGAAAAGTCCTCTCGTTCAAATCCAACAAAAATAAAAGACCAACTAATGAAAAATTTGCACAGAATACCTAATGATATTATCACTGAAGAGCTCGTGAAGCCTGGAAATTGTGCATGATTGAACGTTTTGAAATACAACAAATCCCACTATATAGGAATGTAGAATTTACAATATAAACAATTTTTTCTAATCAATAAACAAAAACAAAATATTTTATGTATAAGGATGATTAACATGTTTAAAGCGGCAGCGCTTTTCTCGCTTATCATTATTTAAGTTTGTTTGCTTATGCACAAAACTATGCAATAGGCTATCAATCGAACTCTGAATTTTAGCGTTGCAAGTACGTAAACATTATTAGAGTCCGATATAATATATGTACCAGATATATAAAAGATTGTGAAAAAAAATATGCAACATCTTCTTTAGAATATTAAATTTTGCTCAAGTTACACAAAGAATATTTATAAATTGATGTTTAATTGATTTGATGATCAGTTGAGCATGTGATGAACCTATGTTCTCGTGTGTATTTTTACCAATGGGGACAAATGAATGTGACAAATTAAGGAGAGTTACAACGCACGAGGAAGATATAGAGGCCTCCTATTGACCTAAGGTTTGGTAATAATCGGTCCAGCAGTCCGTCAGTTATTGGTGGACACAAACACACTCACAGGCTTTTATTGAAGAATGGTTTAGACGATTCACATATAGTATTTCAAGGATTTGAAAGAAAATTTTGTCCATTGATGAAGTTATAGGTTTAAACGCATATGTATGTAATTCAAATCTAACACAACAACCAAGACAATGTATAAGTGCTACACACAAAGTCTGGAAAACAAAACCAAGAAACGAGCTAGAAAGCGTGAATGGTAAAAGTAAAAAAGTCCATTCATTTATTAGTGAGTTTTAAAACTTTTGGATACAATATATGTGCATCTGTTTATAAGAAACTGTTAATTGTTAATATTAATTTTTGAAAATAAGAAGTTACTGATAGCGATAGACTGCTCCATTAAGTTTTGTACCAGATAATTTTGTCCACTCGGCACTAAGCTGACACTGATTACATACAACCTATGATCACTGTTATAAAAAGTCATCAGAGAAGACGATAGAGTAGAAAGTTACTCACCCTCTTTCTGATATGAAGCGCATTCTTCTTGGGATACTTGATGCAAAAGAAGACAGCAAATGAGCCAAATAGACCGTTTTAGAACCATCTTCTTTCAAGCCAAATACTCTCCGAAATGTTTTGCTAAGACTTCAAGCTGCCTATCTTACAGTTCCCTTCACGTGAGCAGACTCTGTGATCCACAGATTACTTGTTTGAAACCCCGCGGGCTCAGAGAATACGTATGTGTATCGCTGCTCTGTACATCCCCTTTAGACCTGTTATTGTGATTAATGATCGTGCCGACCTTGGGATTGGGTTGCGAGATTAAACGCTATGACAGGGTGTCGCCTGGCCGTTCGGGTGGGTAAATTATAGGGTTCTTTAATTCATCTTGTTCAGTGTCTTTAGTTGCTATCACAGAGAGTTAGCTCGCAAACGGAACAAGTCTTGTGAAGGTTAGGTTTTTCATTACTAAAGACCTTGGACAAAGCAACTAGTGTCTATGATATGTTACTGAGGCATTCTGACAATGAAATGGCCGATGATAATTACCTCATCAAATGGGAAACGACTAATATTAACGGATGAATCTTATTGGGGTATTTCACATCGCGATCTCGTTTTCATTTATAACAGTCTTGACAAGTAACAAAACAAAAACAAGTTATGTGAGTGTGAGTGTGTGTGTGTGTGTGTGTGTGTGATACATGAATTAGTAATTCATTTTGTTAGTCGGGGTACACTAAAATTAATCAATTGGTTTTTACTGCATTTATGATGTTTTGCTTGTATTCCATAAAATTTGTATTAGTAAAGATACTTACCTTGAATATTCAGAATGTTCCCCTTTTACTTTTCTTATTTCAATATATTTTGATTACCAACTTATTTTATTAGTATCGTTGTGAATTTAAAATATTTTTTGAACGGAGATTAAAACCCGTGACTCTGCTAATCGAATAAATGGTTTAACCCACGTAATTACTATATCTCAAACACTACAACTCAATTTCCACTTCATTGAATATTAAAGATGGCGCCAATGAAGTGAAACAAAATCATCTTCCCTCAGAATCAAGGGTTCAAGTATCGTGTACTGTCAATTTTCATTTCTTGATAACAATTTTGATCTAAGACTTAGTTAGGGTAGGACGTGGCTCGGTGTTCACGATTCACGTCTCTCTGCCACAAAAACGTGTTCCTCGCTTCGGATCCATGGGTTTCCTCTAATATATCAGTTTCAGATTGGAAATGGCTATGTTGTGATAATGTCTAAAATAATCCAGTTTAGTTTTTACACATATGTTGAATTTAGGAATCTTTCTTGGACAGCACAATTTTGGTATAAAACACCACCTTTAGGAGAAACTTAAAACGCTTCAAAATATTATGCTGACATAGGTGAGTCAATTGCAGACTTACAGTCAAACAAGACAAGCTTAATGGGTTATCGTGGAGTCTATACTACATTACTTTTTCCTACATAATTATCATCAGTTCATACTGAAAATGCACATTTTGCAACTAAATTAATCAAAACAGTAGTTAATTAAACACTAACAGAAATAGTTAACAAAGGAAGCACACTGTTAAGGGTATGTATAAGTAAATATTACAAATGCCTATCTACTATAAGAGATATAACATAATTAGTGGCACTAAAACAATAAACAACACATATATTTTATGCCACTAATTTTTATGTATGTTTTAACTACTTCACTGAATCTTTATGAAAAGTTGATTATAGATGCAGCATATATATCACCATAATTCTGTATTTGTTTTACTGGACAAATCGTTATAAGTATGCGCTAATTCACCACTTTCTTTTAAATACACATTTAATGCTTGTTAGCCAATTTAATTATTTGAACTTTGCTAAATTCCTACTTCATAGCTCAATGAAACTATGCAAAATGGTGAAAGGTTTATTATAAAATCTGTAAGTACACTTACTGCGATATCAGTGCCTAAGAACAGAACTTGAATTCATTTTAATACACATTGATTAACTGATAATTTAGGAAAAGAGCTGAAACATGCATGGTCACCATTGGTATATAACATATGACATAGTAGCTGGCTACTAACACCTGTAGCTGTGGTACGTGATATAGTGCATCTATCTGTGGACTGGAAAAACCCAACTCGTTTTGCACTGTACACAAACACTGCAATAATTTGCGAAATTCAGGGTAAATGGCCTCCTGACTGTAATTCATGCAACTTGGACCATATTCATGTTATTAAAAGCTATATACAGACAGATCATTATTAGGCAAGCACCCAGAACAACAGCAAACTACATTTATTATCACAGCCAACTGCCAACACCTGTAGCTGTGCTGTCTACTATGGATAATCACATACTGGTCAAGGAATACATAACTGTGAGCATCAAGAAAGAAATTGTTTGCACAAAATCCAATAAAACAAATATTTTTACCATGATTTATTACGTTTCCAATTACTTCTTACTTTTCATGTTTTAAGAACACAACTCCCTACTGTACAATTGGAAGACTGACATAAATCCAAAAGGCTCGAAAGTGTGGTCTTGATTATGAATGAAATGTAAAGTCACACACAAAAACACAAAGGAAATTCCAATTTTCACTACAAAATTTGACTTGAGTGCTCAAAAATCAAGGACTACAGAGTTCTTTCAGCTTATGAACTCCTAACAATCATAACAGTTTCACCAACTATTAATGTTCTAGTCTTATAACTACTCATATAACTACATCTGTGCTGCATTCACTGAACTAATGAGGTTGTACTTCACCCTGTTACCCAGTTAGAGGTTCTCAGTGCTAGATATAGATCCTTCAGTAGCTCCTCTCAAACTTCATGATGTTTTATTATATATGGAGTACATTAATAAAATCATCACTGTCTGTATGGTTCATCATCACTTCTGTCGCTGTAATGTCTTTACAGATACAGTGTTCAGAATCTGGATATTTAGCAAATGAATAAGTTCTTATCATCAGTTAAAATAATCCAACCACAAGATACTGTAAAATAAATTTGTACTCCTACGATGTTATAATATAATATGCCATTACATTTTTTGAGTTATGATGTTCATAAGCTATTTTAGTGATTTCGTGATTTTTAGTCCACATAGATGATAAACTTCCTCCTGTTGTGATGGCAAATAATGATTATTGTATCCAGGTGGATATCGGTTATTGCAAACACCTTGGCAGATTCTACAAGCAACTGACTGAAATTCTCTAACTGTTTCAAGCTTAAATTGTCTGAATAACTTCGGGTGTTCTGGCAGTAGTGCGTTTGCTCTGAGGTATGATGTGGCTGGATCAACATTAGTTATACAGCCAACTTCAGTCACTTCTGTCTCATTCAACTGCTGATAATCATGTGATCAAAACTACAAACCAGTACGAGTATAAAGCAAGCGATTGGAGCATCACTTGAACAAGCAATTACAGCTTTATTTCTTTGTCACAGCTGGGTTTCTCTGCATGACATGACATAAAAACCACTTATATATTTGGAAGCATTGTGATTCTCTGCTCTATATGTACCTATGCAAGCCACTAGTTCTGTGCTTTGAAATATTAACATTGGATAATTTGATTGCACAGCTGCACTTAACCTGGATGTTAACTGAATTTGTCAGTTTCTAGCATACTAGTTCTCAATCCCAGGTCAGAAACAACAACTTTTAATCATTAAAAGCCAACACTGGTAGTAAGCTGAAATAATACTTATCTCAAAATTATCTCTGTTAACCAGGAGAAGTCAGTAATGACTAACTGGATTCAATTCACTCGGAGTGCCTAGTAAATTGATAAGTCCAACAAGCTTCTTGTTGTACCAAAAACTCAAATTTGCTTTTATATATCTGATTATAGCTCAGGATGAACTGAACTGGCCATCACACCTTCAACAAGGCTAACCTATTGTGCTTCGTCAAGATGGTGACCATAATCAACCCGAACACCAATACTTAAATCTTTTCATAGCAGCAGGAGCCTATGCTAATACCAACCTTTCTGCTGCTGCTACCAAAGAGTTGGATAAAGAGAAATCTGTTGTTCTTGCTTTTGTATGAAAGGATACTAAAAGTGCTTTCTCCAATGCCAGAGCAGTTCAAAACTGAACCGGGAACTCTCTTGTTTTTGTTCAGACTGACATTTGTCTGGATTCAACTGCTGCAATCTCCTATCTCCCAGTTAAAACATTTGTACACTATCCATCCCATTTTTCTTCGTTAAAACAGTTTATCACTTTCCATCCTTTATCTATTATATATTTCATTTAAAACACTTGTACAATGTCCATCCCCTGTCTTTCAGTGAAAAACGCTGTATACTATATCACCCATATTTTTCGGTTAAAAGAGTTGTATGCTATCCATCCCACATCTTTCAGTTAAAACAGTTATGCACTATTCATCCCATATTTTCAAGTTAAGACAATGTTTACTAAAAGAATTTATCGCTTAGTACAAAAGCTATGTAAGGCTTGCTACTGAAATTGAAAAATGGAACCAAACAAGATAGGAATGGAAATGGACATATCACTTCATCTGGCTAATGATCACATAGCAGACTAAGACGTCTCGATTTTATATGGAGAATGAAATACCTACTTTACTGGTTTCTCCACTTTGTCTGTCAAAAGCTTGGTGTTTGAATAGAATCTCAGCTTTCATCATTATACCTTTCCTTTAATTAGCTTCAGAATACTAATTTTATGACTATTTTACAATAGAGTAAATTTTTATGATTAGAAATTCTGGTTCTATTTGTCTTGCGAGTGAGGAAGCCAGTAATGTAGAGATTTTATTCTCCATGTAAAGTCGAGATGGCTTAGTCTGCTACATTATTAGCCGAATCAAGTGATGTGTCCTCTTCTATCCCTATCTTGTTTGGTCGCGTTTCTCTAATTCAGTTGCCAGCTCTACATAACTTTTTTTATTCAGTGACAACTTTTCCCAATACTTGTTTGTTCATTTATTTTTTAATTACTAGGTTATAAAGTGTATTCTAAAGCTTTATAAATTTTGCATAGAATAATAATACAATAGGTAGTCAAAGATCGTGAAGACTGTTTTGCTCTATCAAATGATGATAAAATTATAGTTACTGCTAGAACTAGGTAGGGACTAGGCCTGTTGAAGAAAGATGATGATGAACGAAAATAAGAAACCTCGGTTTTGGCTATTCGCCTTTTTTTCGAATTTTAGACACTCTGGATAGCTGAAAAGTGGCATATACACCGGAGATATAGTGAATATTTCAGGTACCTTTTCATATCTAGCTTATGATGACCTATAGAGAAGAAAATCTACATGACTTTTGTGTTGATTTAATACGGGCGTCCGTGCCATCGCTACGTAGAGAGTAATAGCGCACTTTCCAATACTATTCATCCTATATCTTTCACTTAATGCAGCTGTATACTATTATTCCTCTCATTCTTTCGGTTAAAACAGGCGTATAATATCCGTTCATCATCTTTCAATTAACACATATGTGCACTATTCGTCAGATATCTTTTAGTTCAAAGAGTGATATACTCTACATTCTATACCCTTTAGCTTAAAAAGTTGTACACAAGCCATTCCATATCTTGAAGTCAAAAAAGTTGTATACAATTACCTTAAATCTATTTTATCTTCTCTTATGCAGTTCTACACTAACCATCCTATATATTCAAGTTAAAATAGTTGCAAACTACCCATCACTTATCTTTCAGTTAAGACAGTTCTACACTATCCGTCCAATATTTATTATATCTTTCAGGTGACCTATAGTACACTATCCATTTCATATCTTTGAGTTAAACATTCGTATACTATCCATCACATATATTTAAGTTAAAACAGCTGTACACCATACATCTTAAATCTATTTCATCTTTCATTGTGCATTTGTCCACTACTCGCCCTATATCTATTATAACTTTCATTTAAAACATTTGTATACTATCCGTCCCATATGTATCAGATTAAATAAATATTCACTATCCATCCCATAGCTTTCAGTTTAAGCAGATTAACACCATTAATTTTATATATTTCAGTTAAAACTGTCTTACACAATCAAACTTAAATCTATTTTATCTTTGATTATCAGTTGTACACCATCCATCTTATATCTTTATTTTAAAACAGTTGTAACTACCCATTACCTATCTTTCAGTTAAAGCATTGGAACAGACCACACTATATGTATCCTTTCTTTCATTTAAAACAGTTGTACCTTATCCATCGCATACCTTCCGTTATAAATGTTTTACACTATCCATCCCATATCTCACAGTAAAAACAGTTGAAAACAAACCGTCCAATAACTATCATTTAGAATAGTTTTACACTATACTTGTTTAAGTGAAAGTTATGTGATATATAATATTGTACAACTTTTCTAACTCAAAGCTATGGAACGGATTGTGTTCAATTCTTTTAACTGAAGAATATAAGATGGATAGTGTACAACTGTCTTAAAAGAAATCTATAATGGCTAAAGAATGGATGGGGTACAACTGCATAATGAGAGATAAAATAGAATTATGACGGATACTATACAACTGTTTTAACTGAAAAATATGAGATGGGGAGTGAACCAGTGTTTTAAATGAAAGTAGGGAATAGGCAGTACACAACTGTTTTAACTGAAAGATATGAAACGAATGGTGTGCAACTGTTTTACCTGAAAGATATAATAGATATGGGATGAATAATGTTCAACTGTTTTAAACGAAAATCATGGAATGGATATTGTATCACTGTTTTAACTGAAAGATGTCAGATGGATAGTGTACAACCGTTTTTAAGGAAAGATAAGGGACGAATAGTATATGTCACTTTTAGCTGAAAAATATGTGTTCAGGTGTCTACAACTGTTTCAACTGAAATATATTGGATGAATAAAGTACAAATATTTTAACTGAAAAATATGGGATAGACAGTGGACTGTTGTTTCAAATGAAAGATGTTGAATGGATAGCGTACAACAACCTTTTTAAGCAAAAATTGGAAGTATAGTGTACGACTGTTTTAACTTGAAGATATGGAGTGGATTGTATACAACTGTATTGAGTAAAACATATGGGATGAAGACTATATAACTTTCTTAACTTGAAAATAAGTAATTTATAGTATGTATGTGTTTTATCTATAACAACTGAGATGAATACTGTACATCTGTTTTAAATTATCACTAAGAACGACAGTGCTTGATATGTAGGGATGGGTCGAGAAAATAATGGCCGCCGCATTCAATATATTACATTATGATGCTTACAAATAACTGCTAAAATTGATTTATAGCCTTATTTGAGCACCTAATTGCCATTCTCGAGTATTTTGCAGCTTGTATAAGAGTAATATTATTCTGTTCTTCTACCACATGTATTTTTGTAGGAAAATGATAAAAAGGAAAACTACTATTTAGCAGTGAGTTCAGTTTATAAGCATATATTATTCCCATGTTATATAAATAACAGTTTCAATTCTGCTCGCTAGATGGCAGCACAAATTGTTCTCATGTAATGACCATTTGTGACTTTTCATTGCACAAACATAATATTTGCCAAAACAATTTCAGTACAAATAAATAAAGAAAGAAAAAATAATCTAAATCAACATTCAAAGTATCAAGGAGATCAAGTATTTATGGAACTGACAGATCTGTGTAAATGTTATTGATGTATAAGTTTCTTAAATATCAAAACAGTACATTATATATAGGTCTGTGGGTGAATGTGTGGTATCATATTTCATGGTCTTGGATCTATAGGATGTCCTCCCTATTAATCGACAAGATCCTAGCATGTGATGGAGTCGATTATATGCACATGCAGTGAGTTGGGGAGAAGTTGGCATATGTGGGTTCTGCAAATATCCTTTTAATGTCTGAGCAGCTCTCCAGGGTACTTGTACCGTCCTGGATGAACAATTCCAGCTTCGCTAGCCCCCAGTGTAATTCAAAATTATAGAAACTGACAGAAATAATACAATACTAACAATATATATTTCCATTGAATTATAAAAATGAAGCAAATGTTTACTTATCAACCTGCTTAAATGAAACTGTTAAATAAAGAGGGAAAATAAGTAATGGTATGATGTAGAGATGTCAATGCCAAAAAGTACAAAAACAAGGAGGGGATGAATAAATATAACCATACAAAAATCCTTACATAAGAAGCCAGTAAGTACTGAGTCAATCTTAAAAGCTTTTGGTTATTTGCCACTCTAAGACTGTATAGCCATATTCAGTTTAAATGCTTTTATACAAACCTGAATTCATTCAATTGACAGTAATTCAATATTTAGTTGTAGATACTAGTTGTTTTTGAAAATTGTGGCTCCCTATATAGTGATTTTTGTTCGGTTTTGTGTATTAATCCCTATCTTGTTTCTGTAATGTTTGGCATAGTCACCCCTACATCATACTTAATTTTTGCAAAAAAATGTTATCGCTTGTAAATATGGAATGAATAGAGTACAACTGCATAATAAAACATAAAACAGATTTAGGATGAATGGCGTACAGCAGCGTTAACTAAACGATATTTGATGTATGGTATACTGTTTATACTGAAACATATTTGGTGTATAGTGTCAAATTGTTTCAACTGAAAATTATGAGAAGGATAGCAATAATACAACTGTTTTAAATAAAGTGTAAAATAAGTAAAAGATGGATAAGGTAAAACTGTTTTATCTGAGAGATATTGAATGGATTGTGTACAAATGTTTTAATGAACGATATGATATGGATAGTGTCAAACTGTTTTAAATGAACGATATGAGATAAATAGTGTAAAACTGTTTTAAATAATAGGTATGGAATGAATAGCGTACAATTATTTTAGTTGAATTTTATGTGACGGATTGTTTTCGATTGTTTCGACCATAAGATATGGGATGGATACAATAAAACTGTAATAACTGGAAGATGTGCGATGGATAGTGTACAACTGTTTTAAATGAAATAAATAATACATATATTCAAGTTAAAACAGATGCGCACTAATCGTCACATATCTTTCTGTTAAAACGTTCGCATACTATCCGTCCCATATTTTAAAGTTAAAATATCTTAATACACTCTGCTCCATAAATTTCAGTTACAAGAAATGTACACTATAAGTTCCATAAGTTTCAACTAAAACAGTTTTACTCTATCCATCCCATATATTTCAGATAACCCAGATAAACACTATACTTCCCATATCTTTCAATGTAAGCTCTTGTACACTATTCATCCCATAGGAATTATATCTTGCATTTAAAATAGTTGTACACTCCATCCTATATCTTCCATCTACACGTCACATATCTTTCAGTTCATATAGTTTTAAACCTTCCCTTTAATACCTTTAAGTTGAAAACATTGCATAATATCCGTCACATATCTTTCTGTTAAAAGAGTTGGAAATTATACATCATATAAATATATATATATATATATATATATATATTATATCCTTCATTTAAAATATATGTACATTATCCATCCAATAATTTGTTGTAAAAAATTTTACGCTACAATAACCATATGTTTCAGTTAAAACAATTGTAAATTATTTATCCTATATCTATTATATTTTATATTAAAAGCAGTTGTACACGCCATCCTACATACTTCAGTTAAAATGGTTCTATACTGCACGTCACAAAGCTTTCAGTTCAAAAAGTTGTACAATTTTCTTTCAGCATCTTTACGTTAAACAGTTGCACACTGTTAACACTATATCTTCCATTAAAAACTATCCTGCATCTATTATGTCTTTCATTGAAATAGTTTTATACAATTCGTCCACAACCTTTCAGTTACAAAACTTGTACATTGTCCATCTAATATGTATTGTATCTTTCATTTCAAACAGTTGTACACTATCCATGTCATATTCTTTAATTTAAGAAATTTAGGCTATCCGCCCAATATTTGTCAGTTAAAACATTTATACACTGTGTGTCACATATATTTTAGTTCAGAGAGTTGAACCCTTTCCCATCCATATCTTTCACTGAAAACTGTCGTACACTATCCAATCCATATCTTTCAATTAAAACATTTGTACACTGTTCATCATATACGTATTATTTATTACACTTAAAACAACTGTACACTACTAATTGGATATCTTTTATTTATGATAGTATACACAATCATCACATATCTTTCAGTTGAAAATATTGTACACTATCAATCCCATATCTTTCAGTTAAAGCATTTGCACCCTGTTCATCCTCTATGCACTGTTTCTTACTCTTGAAACAGTTGTACACTATATATCGCTTATATTTAGTTATAACTATTTATCCCATATCCTTAATTTTTAAAAAAAATTGTACACTGTGCATTCTATGTCTTTTAATTAAAGTAACTGTAAACTATCTATTTCATATCTTTAAGTTAAAACATTTACACAATATTCATTCGAAGTTTTAAAAATGTACAATAGTAATCCCATATATTTCAGTTATAGCACTGTCCACCATAAATCCATTTTATCTTTTATTATGCAGTTGTTCACTATCCATATCTTATCTTTCATGAAAAATATTTGTAAATTATCTATTATATATTTCACTTAGAAAGTTTTACACTATCCATCGCATATCTTTCATCACATCCCATATCTTTCATTAAAAACAGTTGTACACTATCCATCTCATATCTTAATGTTAAAACAGTTGTACACTATCCATCTCATATCTTAATGTTAAAACAGTTGTATCATATTCGTCCTGTATCTATCAGTTTAAGTAGTACTACTTTAATCATCCCATATCTTTCAATTAAATAAGAAGAACACTAATGTTCCATATATTTTAGTTAAAATGTTGTACACTATCCATTCCACGTCTTTCAGTAAATTCCAATATCTTTCAGCTAAAATAGCTGCACATTAGCTATTCCAATCGTTTTTAAATTAGTTGTACACTATCCATTTTATAACTTTCAGATAAACTATCTATACACTATCTCTCTCACATTTTCCAATTAAACAGGTTGTACACTATCAATTCTAAATCTATTTCATCTTTCATTATGCTGTTATAAACTACACATACTATGTCTATTATATCTAGCATTTAAAACTATTGTACACTGTCCATCCAATATTTTAAAGTTAAAACAGTTGTACACTATTCGTCGCACATCTTTCCTTAAAAACGGTTGTACATTATTCATCGTATAACTATTCTATCTTTTAGATAAAACATTTGGACACTATTCGCTCATAAGTATCAGTTAGAGCCTTTGTACACTATACATATCATATATTTCAGTTAAAGCAGTTGTACACTATATGTTTGATATATGTCAAATATAACAGTTATACACTATCAGATTTGTACAATTCTACATCTATTTAATCTTTCATTTCAAACAGTTGTACCGTATGCATCACATATGTTTCAGTTAAAGCATATGTACACTATGCATCCTAAATTTCTCAGAATATACACGGTCTACCCTTTATCTGTTATTTTTTTCCTTATATTTAAGTTAAAATACTTGTGTACTATCAATCCCATATCTTTCAGATAGAACAGTTGGGTACCACACGTCCCATAACTTTGAGATAAAACAGTTGTACGTTATTCATCCCATATCTGTCAGATGAAGCAGTGATAGATTATTCATTCCATATCTTCAAGTTTAACATTTTGTTCACTATCCATCCTAAATCAATCACACTATCCATTTCATATCTTTCCGTTAAAGGGATTGTACATTGTCTCGTATATTTCAGTTAAAGCAGTTATACACTATACGTCCCATAGCATTCAGGTAAAACAATTGTATAATATCGATCCTATATCTATTATTTTTTCATGAATCTCTGTTGTATACTATTCACCCCCCCCCCATGTGTTTTAGTTAAAAGAGTTATATACTATCCATCCCATATCTTTCACTTATAGTAGTTGTACAATATTCATTAATTATGCCTTTTTATATAAAACAGATATACACTACCCGTCTCATATATTTTTCTTCAAACAAATGTACGCTATCCATCACACATATTTCAACTTACACAGTTTTGCACTGTTCGTCTCGTATCTTCCAGTTAAACCAATTGTACACTATAAAACCCATATCTTTCAATTAAAACTGTAGTACACTATGCGTCTTATACCTTTCAGTAAAACAGTTTTATACCATTCATCACATATATATTATTTCAGGTCAAACAGTTGTACAATATCCATCGGTTATCTATTATATTTTCAATTATAACAGTTGTATATCATCCAGGACCGTAAGAAGCGGTGAGGCTATTCAGGCCTGACAACTTTTCATAGCATGTATAGCTACAACTTATGTATTAAAACTTGCTTCTTTTAATTCAATACATTACGTTGTGTCTATGCAGTATTTGTAGTTAAAATTGCTCAAGATTCAATCTCATAGCATTAAATTTTCAACAATTTTCAGGGGAGCAAGCGCTCAGACCCCCTAGAAATGGCAATGTGAGAATGACCTGAACACTTCAAAATTGCTTACTACTGCAAGGTTATCCATTCATATCTTTCAGTTAAAACAGTTAGTTGTATTTTATTCATCCCATATCTTTTTAGTTTTAGCAGTTGTGAACTATTGACCCTATAGATTTGTAGCTTTCACTTAAAACAGTTATACACTATTCGTCCCATATCTTTCAGTTAAAACAACTGTACACTATCCATTTTATATCTATCATTTTTTTATTGCGGTTATGCACTATTCATCACATATCTTTCAGTTATAGTAGTCGTACACTTTCCATTCAGTAACTTACAGTTAAAACAGTTGTATTCTATCCATCCCATGTATTTCAGTCAAAGCAGTTGTATACTATCTATCCTATATTATTATATCTGTCAGTTAAAACAATTGTTCACTATTCCTCTGATATCTTTCATTTTAAACAGCTCTACATTATTTGTCCCACATCTTTCAGTTAAAACAGTTGTACATAACCCAACCTATATTTATTTTATCTTTCATTTCAAGCAATTGTTTATTATTACATCCCACATCTTGATGTTAAAACAGTTTTACACTATCCTTACTATATATCTGTTATATCTTTAAT